CGATTTGGTAATAACAAAAATAACCAATAGCATTGCGTATTTTCGGAAATTTCTACTGTAATAAAGATTAAGGTTAATAGGGATGGTGATCCAGGTTATATATAAAATTGTCTTCTCGACATTTTTCATTAGTTCTACGGACATTTCTCGCATTTTTCATTTTTTTGTGTCGGTTTGTTTTGCCGGGTTGATCAAAAATTTATGCATTCTTATTATCATAACAAAATCGGTGGGGGGTACATAAATGCACGCCATATCTGATTCTGTATACCTCTGAGTCACATTTAATCATGATAATATTGGAAACTGATCAAATAAAAAAAAAAAAACTATAAGCGGAAAAATAAAACAGATTAACGATAACCTAATAACCTAACAACTTAACAATAATGAGTAGTGCAGAGTTTCTAGCTCAAGAACAAGCAGCCTTCGATTACGAAGTCAAAGAAGTCGAAAGATGGTGGCAGTCACCTCGTTTCGCTAAAGTAAAACGACCATACACTGCCGAACAAATAGTATCAAAACGCGGCAGCATAAAGCAACAATACGCCTCAGACACCCAGGCAAAAAAACTATGGAAACTCTTGGAACATCATCACAAGAACAAAACTGCCTCACATACCTTTGGCGCGTTAGACCCGATCCAGGTGGTACAAATGGCGAAATATCTCGAGACTGTTTATGTGTCCGGTTGGCAGTGTTCATCGACCGCTTCCACCTCTAATGAACCGGGCCCAGACCTTGCGGACTATCCAATGGATACGGTTCCGAATAAAGTAGAACATTTGTTTTTGGCCCAGCAGTTTCATGATCGTAAGCAGCGTGAAGCTAGGTTTAGTGTTGATTTGACATCTCGTGCTAAACTTCCATTTGTTGATTATCTGAGACCGATTATCGCGGATGCGGATACCGGACATGGTGGTATTACGGCTATTTTGAAGTTGACTAAAATGTTTGTAGAACGTGGTGCTGCTGGAAGTAAGTCTTTTTATTTCGATCTAGAATACTTTTGAATATTTCTAACTCATATACTTTACACTATACCTTAGTCCACATTGAAGATCAAGCACCAGGTAACAAATAGATACTATTCAACATTTTTCAGTAATATGGTATTCAAAGCAATAAACTAATAAACTTCCATCAGGTACTAAAAAATGCGGTCACATGGCTGGAAAAGTACTAGTTCCAGTCTCGGAACATATTAACCGTCTAGTCGCCATTCGCGTGCAATTCGACATAATGGGAGTCGAGAACTTGATAGTAGCGCGAACAGATTCTGAAGCAGCCACACTAATCTCTTCAAACATCGACTCCCGTGATCACCCATTCATTATCGGTTCAACAAACCCCAATCTTCGTCCATTAGTGGAAGTACTGGATAAGGCGCACGCCGAAGGAAAACTTGAAGAAGAATCATCCGCGATCGAAAACAAATGGATGCAGGATGCCGGACTGAAACTCTATTCTGACGCGATTGCTGATCTAATAAAAGCATCTAATAAACCTAATAAGAGTGATCTTTTGAAACAATGGAATGACAAAGTCTTTGAGTTACCACACAATGAAGCTAGAGTGTTTGCTAAGTCTCTTGGATTTGAGGTCTTTTGGGATTGGGATTTGCCGCGTACTCGTGAGGGTTTCTATCGTTATCAGGGTGGTACCAAGTGTGGTATTGCTCGTGCCGTTGCTTATGCACCATATTGCGACCTATTATGGATGGAAACAAAGAGTCCAATCTACAACCAGTCTAAAGAATTTGCAGAGGGTAAATTGATTACTTTTTCAGTTATTAGCTTATTTTTAAAGATTTAATGTTCATTTTGAAATTAGGTGTATTAAGCAAGTATCCTGATGCGTGGTTAGCGTACAATTTGTCGCCCAGTTTCAATTGGGATGCAGGTAATTAATAGTCATTTTCGTTACTGAGTAATCATTCACATAAGAAAACTAATAATGTATTTTTATTAATAAAGCTGGCCTGAAAGATGAACATATTCGCTCCTTTGTCAGTGATTTGGGTCAACTCGGCTTCGTATGGCAATTCATCACAGTCGGTGGTCTTCACTCGAATGCCTTGGGTGTAGGCAAGCATTATGACAATTAATCTACTCTTAATAAAATATAGGTTATGATTAATTAAACTATTTTCGCGATTATACAAATATAGATGTATTTGCGCGTAACTTTGCAAAAGATGGCATGTTAGCGTACGTAAACCGTATTCAACGTCTTGAACGTGAGAATGGCGTCGAAGTGTTGCATCATCAAACTTGGTCCGGAGCCAACTATTATGACTCATTAAGTAAGTTTTTTAATCAATATTCAGTACAAATTTGTCATCAATGAATTAACTATTTTTTGCTATTACGAAATAGTCAAAGTTATACAAGGTGGAATTGCCTCGACAGCCGCAATGGGTAAAGGAGTGACTGAGGATCAGTTCAAAAATTAGGCAGGTTATCTGCTTTAAAAATGCAATTTCTAAAATAATTTAGTAATCATTTAAATGTTTGTCTCACTGTTCCGGGGGGGTTGATGTTTTTTTCTTTAATAATTAATTTTGATAGAAAAAAATATATTTCGGTATTTATTGGTCTTCAGCCAGATTAAAAGAAAATGATTTCTTTTATATTGTTCTTCAACAACCAACCTCTTATATAATCCACGAAGTGATCCACGTAACCCACCCAATACCCACATCCAACACACGTCTCTTTAAAATATAAAGAACCACCAGAATAAAAACAAACAATCCAAACAGAATTAATAATCGATCCGTCCAATCACTTTGTTCCAGTTTTGTGATTAGTTGTTTCGAGCCGCGTACTACCGCGGTGAATCCTCGGAATTCATTATACGTACTTTTTAGTATTCGCGATGAATCCTCTATTTGTTATGATATTAAATTAGACATCTATAATAGTGGAAAATTAAACAACAAAAAAATTAAATACCTAATGATTTTGCAGAATAAGCACTTCTTTCGATTTCTTGTTGCATTAACTGTACCGTGCGTTGTAACGTTTTTGTTACATCATCAGTAGCACGTAATACTGAATCATCCGATCTTTAAAGAATAAAGTAAATGAAATCAATAATACACCTCCATAAATACACATTTTTTATTAATTGACTACATACGAGAGATTTCTACGTCTCATCTCATACGCTTCTCCTTTTCTCCCCTCGCCAAGTGCAAACAATTGTAATTTTGCCTCTCTTTCAATATTTTGTTTCGAGGTTAAGATCGCTCGACGTAAAGATGCTTGAAGTCTGTTTGTCGTATACAATGAATTAACAAAAACTCTTTCTTGTTAATTTACAATTGATCAACCGATGAATTTAATGAAAAAATAATTGCGTTTAGCGATGAAAAGACAAACCCAACTGTTTATATTGATCTTCATTTCTTCGTAATCGCTGCAAAATTGCTTGACGGTCTTTATCGCGATCTTGTTCTTCTGCAAGTTGTTTCATACCCTACTTATAAAAAGAAGGAAAATATTTTCATAGCAAAAAAACATACATATACGAGTATCCGTTAACAAAATTTGATGAAATAATAGAGCAATTAACTCCCATTACCTCGATAAGTTTCCCCAAGTCTTTAACACCCACACGAATCAAACTAGACACTTCTTGTTGTTCCGATAATTCTGTGACATTAGTTAAATTTGTGATGCTTGCCTCTAGATCTAACTGGAGTCTATTGATTGTTTCAAAGTGTCGAAGAATTTCCAGTGAAAGCGAAGTCATTTTATTTCTATCTTGTAAGTTACCCTTTGATACACAATGTACCTCTAACACTGCCGATCATATCGATTGTAATATTACCGGAAACGTCACCTTTAAGATCTTTGTGATTATTATTTTACTTTACCAAAATACTTGAATTTACCTGGACTTTAAAACACTATGCGAATCGTCATAACTACTGAAACGGGTGAATTTCACAATGTTGAGGTTGACTCGCAAATCGAGTTAGAAAACGTCAAAGCTTTGATAGAAGCAGAGGTATGCACAATTCTATATTCACAAGTATCTTAACTTAGGTGAATGAGCTCTTTCTGAAACACCCTTTAAAAATCATTTTAGACAGGCATTTCAACATCTGATCAAATGCTTCTTCATAACGGAAAAGAGTTACCAGATCCAAAAAAAACGTTGGAGCAATATGGTGTGATTCAAGATAGCATTCTATTAGTCAAAAGGAAATTCCCGGTCAACAACTCTGCAGCAACTTCCGGTGATGGTGGTGTTCAGTAAGATTACTTCTTTTGCGTCAAAGACAATATATAATATTGAGTTTGATTTGAAAGACTTTAACAATAATAACGATCATACTCTAGTGGAGCCCCTGAGTATGCTGAACAGATGCGGCAACATATCCTGGGAAGACCTGATATTTGGAATCAGTTATCTCAAGTATTATTCTCACTATTTAAATTTTTATTATTGTTTAAATTTTATTCAAAAGCCTAATTTTAATGTATATCACATCATTCCTATTGATTATTACATGATCAGACTCAACCGGATCTCGCACATGCCGCATTAAATGATCCCGATAGATTCGCTGTTTTACACAGACAGATGGAGCAACGTCGTGTAATAATTTGGTTTAAACATATAACCAGTCGATCGTATTACTGTTATTGGGAAAAACTAATCTTAACATACAAAAAAATAGAATTTGCTTAACGCAGATCCTTTTGACATTGAAGCACAACGAAGAATTGAAGAAGAGATAAGGCAAGCTAATGTTATAGCAAATCGGGAAGCTGCGTTAGAACACACTCCAGAAGCTTTTGGAAGAGTAAGCTCTATTCATCGTGATATCCATATATATCGCAACTTTGAATCTATGTCCGGTTCCCGCAAATTTTGATCAGCCCAGCAAACCAAATTCGACACAAGGAAATGAAAAATGTTAAAAATACGGGGAGCAGATGCCAAAATCTAGCTTGGTGTACTAATAAAATTTGTTAGGGAGGCAATTTTACCTATAGACTTAGCTCTAGTTCTAACCCTACCAATCAAATACACACATAGTTGGTAAGAGACCCAGAGTATTTTGCAAGATGAATTATGATCACTTTTTTAATTATCCTAAACCTTTAACATTACAGTAGGATTTTCCGTGATCGACCAAACCGGGCACAGATTTAAATTTCGCATATATACATACATCTCTTCTTGTTTACTAATTTGTCGTTATTAATTTAGGTCACCATGTTGTATATTAATGTTGAAGTAAATGGCCACCCAGTAAAAGCATTTGTTGATTCTGGCGCGCAGGCAACAATTAGTATGTAAGCTCTTGTTAAAATTCAATACGTTATTTCTATTGGCTCTATCGTATTGCGTCTCTAGCTACTTTATTTACCTAATGATGCAACATTTGATTTAAGTGAGTCCATCATGCGCGGAAGCATGCGGGTAATTACTTTTACTTTTATTTTTTTTTGTTTGTTTTAATCTATAACCAGTAATAACAGTATTAGTATTGAAGCTCTGGATCTCATCTTGAATTGAAGCTCACAATTATGATTAATTAATTAAATGCAGAATTATGAGGTTGGTAGATACACATTTTGCCGGTGTCGCGAAAGGAGTTGGCACTGCAAAGATTCTTGGGCGTGTGCATAACGCGCCAATTCGTGTTGGCCCTGATTTATTTTTGGATAGTTCTTTTACGATAATGGAGGTCTGTTTGATTTTATTGATTTTATTTTTGTGGTTAGATATAATCGATTTACGCGGTGTTCTATTACTATTATTAGGGACGAGGCGTGGAATTGTTGTTTGGACTGGACATGTTGAAGCGTCATCAGGTTAGCCTTTTTTTTTTTAATTTACTACTAGTAGCGTTTTCCATTAATTATACAATTCAAATTATAAAAAGGCTTGCATCGACCTGAGGAGAAATTTGTTAATTATCAATGAAAAAGAAATCCAATTTTTAGCCGAGCACGAGTTACCAAAAAGTGCACTAATGGATGAATTTGCCGATGAAACCCCAGTTGCTACGCCATTACCTACAAACGACGCGTCAACTAGCACCACCCCTATCACCTCCACCACCTCCACCACCACTACGACTAATGCTCATACAAGTAATAGTGCTAACACCAACAATAACCTAACAAACTCGAATACAACGGCACCACCGCCATTAGGTAGTACACCAATACCAGTTAGTAATTCTGCTGTTCCGCTATCGTCTGCTACTGCGGAAACAGGTGAGATAAGCAAATTCCTATTTGTTTTTTTCTTGGTTAATATATATTGGTTTTTTGATTATTTGAAATTAAAAAAAAATATAATATAGCACAATCAAATTATCCCGAAACAGATATTGAGAAATTGATCTCGTTGGGAATCCTTCGTGAACAAGCTATTCAACTTTTAGATGCAGCAGGAGGCAATCCGGACTTGGCTGCGAGTTTCCTTTTCAATGATTTATAAAATGTTTATTTATAGAAATTACAAGTTTATATATTTGATGGGCCGATATAAGTTAGGAGTATGATAATATTTGAATTTTGTGATAGCAGTAGTAGCAAATAGTTATTTATTTATTTTACTAATGAAATAAAAAATAAAAAATCAAAGTTCTCATAAATTAATGATTACAAATAAATAATTAGTTATTATATTTTTATGATGAAGACGAAGAAACTTTATTCATCCGCCTTTCCTCCTCATTGACCATATTTTTCCATTCCTGGAATCCATGTGGCTCTTTGCTCGTATTAACGCTGAATGCCGCGGCAGCTAACACAACGATAATTGTGACACCTTGAGCGTACATACGTGCCTGAACCAGTTTTTGAGAAGTAGTCAAATATCTACATAACAAAATTTTAGTAATTCCGTATTTTTAATAATTTGGTATAAATAATTCTCTTTGATGAAAGAAAAACATACTTATTTCGATACAGCGAAGCCATTGAACCAACCATTGCCAATCCCCAAGTTCCAACAACAATAGGCCACTTGTGCTTATTCAACCAAATTTTTACTGCGTCTTCACGCGATATGGTAACATAGTTGTCATTACGTACTGAGCGTTCATCGTATTCGCCGTATTTTTTTCGTTCAAAGTCAATTGAAGCTTTTTCGGCGGCAACTATGAATACAGCTGTTGTGACTATAATAATTCGACAATTACGTGCGTTCAAGTATAAGTTGTCAAGTCAGAAGGAATGAAAATGGCAAGAGAAAAAGGATAAAGAGCTCACATGAACTAACGAGAAAAGCTTTCAGTGGAAGAGTTAATGAGCGAAAATTTCGCGAGTATTTATGCCCAATGAAAGATAGACCGAGTCCGGCGCCTAATCCAATAAGACCTTTTTGCAGGCCTTGGCGAATGGTGTAGTCGTAATGCTCTATTTTTTGTGACTTGTATTATTTTCTTTATTTTTATAAAATCAAGTTGGTATGTGATCTAATTACCTTTTTCTTCTTCTTTGGTGATAAGTTTCATTTTACTTTTAGTGAGGGGATCAGCTTTCGACGAGCCTTTAATTGGAAAATTAGATCGGTGTCATTTCTAGTTCAACGTTAACGTCAATAATAAATATTTGGATCTTCAACAAATACATTTAATTATGATTATCATATCATGCGCTTACAAATATCTAATTAGTGATGCACTAACTCAAATAACTCAAATGAGTAATAATTCTAATTTATATGATCATCGACTTGAGCCGACTAGTATTTTGCTGCCGGCTTGGATCACTATCTAGTAACGAAAACTTCACTTAGATCTGTCTCGATCAGAATCATATTATATTTCTCTAAAATACATACATTCTTACAACGTGGAAGCAAGAAACATCGGCGGAGAAATTTCATCTCGTTTCTCTTTACCCAAAAGTTGCTCAACAATTGTCAAAGCAAAGAGAAACGCAGTACCAGGACCACGACTATAAAAGAAAATTAACGTTAAAGTACTGATGAAGCAGAATAAAAGAATAAGCAAATTATCAATCAAAAAACTAACCTTGTAATAACATTATTATCAACTATAGCACGATCCTCTCTAAACTGATATTCTATATACAGAATGAAACATCAAAATTTGCTAATATTAGTAATAGTCTCATTCAAACCAAGGTTCTAAGATTATATATATATAACAAAAATATCAACCAGTTTCCAACTCTTTCTGTACCACAGGGTGACAAGTGATACTACCACCTTTGTTAATGTTCGAGGACTTGATGGAGATTGGACCTTATAACATTTTGTTTGGAAGAAAAGAAACATAAGTTGATTGGAGATGTATGGATATAAATTATATTTAAATACCAGCACAAATTGCCGCAACAATTTTCCCAGATTGATGAGCATTCGCCAATAACTTTTGAACGTGTTCGTTTGACGAAATAGTTTTCGCTCCGCCCAAACCACCAGGTACAATAATTACATCAAAAGTATCCTTGTTATAAAAATATTTTTTTATTAATTAAATGAAATTTAAAAAAAAAGAGAAACAAAGTAAGAAAAAATACAGGCGATACGGTAGGCCAAAGATTCTCAAAAGGAACATCTGGAATAATTTTAACACCGCGACTGCACGTGGCAAATGTTTGTTCTTTGAGTGCGACACCTGCAACTGTCACTTCAATTGAGGCGCGTCGAAGCACATCAACTATTATGCAGAAAACTCGAGTTGGTTTGATTTTGATCAAAGCGTATATAGGATATTAGATTATATAAATACAACAACGCTCATATGATGCGTTACTTGAAATGACCGCTTCCATTTCTTCGCTTCCGTCTGCTATTAACACCAGCGCTTTTTTGTTCTCAGTAGACATGTTTTATTATCATATGTGAAAAACTACACACAGACCTATGATAAATCACCGTGCATATGCATTATTCTTTATCGAGTAATGTTTTACTTTGTTTATTTGTATATAAAACACTCGTTATTCATTCTTCTTTCTATTCATAATGTTCTTACCATGAAATGAATTATCGTGAACAAATAATTGGTGCATATCATATGGAGAGCAAGGCTTCAGCTATTGCCTCTACCCTCACTATCTCAAAGCAAACAGTACGTGGTACAATTAATTGGTTTAAGAAAACATCCTGTAAAACGCACTGGATGACCAAAAATTTTATCAGGATGTGATAAACGAAGTTTAAAGTGTATTGTAAAAAAAGATCACGAACTTTGCTTATTAAAATTACCAATCAACTCCATGCATATATTAATACTTCAATTCACTCTAATACACTCGTAATTATGTGAAATTATTCTCATTCGAATCTCACTATGCAAATCACAAACCTTTTTTAACTATTCAGCATAAGAAAAAATCTGTTACAATGGTGGTGCAAAGGAAAGAAAAACTGAAATGATGAATGGCACCAAATCGTATGATCAGATGAATCACGATTTCCCTTTAGACGGACGTACAAGAGTGGCGAAAAAAAAAACTTGGAAGGTTGTGTGGTTCCAACAGTAAAATTTGATGGCGTATCGTTAATGTCCAAATATTCGGTTCATTAGATGAGTAATCATTCTTATACAACTTTTCAGCAAGATGATGCTTTCTGTCATACTTCGCATTATAGTCGTTGGTGGATGCAAACACAGTATTCCAGTTTAGAATGGCTGCAATTTAAATTCAATTGAACATATATGTGATCATTTAGATCACCAACTTAGAAAAAGGGAGCCTCTTCCGACCTCCAAAAAGGATTTATTGAGGTATATGGCAAAAAGTGCCTTTGGATGTTGTACGCAATTTAATTTCCAGTATGCTGCGACTGTGATTAAAGCTAAAGGAGCACATACACTTTATTAGATTATTAATAATTTTTAGACGAATATTAATCTTATAACTTTTTCTATTCATATATTAAATAAAAAAGATATCAGAAAATTTGCTAATAATCACGATGATTTATCGTAGGTCTGTGTACAGATCTTGTGTAATTTGTTAGATTATTTTACCACAAAATAAAAAATGTCGCGTTTTCACGCAAAGAGTTTACGCCTGGGTATTAGACAAGAATGGGATACGACACAATACCTATTTCACCCGCGAAAAAACTCTACTGTGTCACAAGATGAAAGCGCGAAATCTGCCCTAAAACATTTCTTTCACTCACAAAACATACTCATGGCTTTTGGTCCTGGTGCAATTAAACATCACCCTGCAAAAGTTTCGTTAAAGCTATATTATTATGCACCTCAACCTCGTAATAAAAGAGAGTATGCTTCACCTATACCACACATTGCGTCTTTATTCCCAAGGGCACGAAATTCTTTAAATGATTATACTGACAACAATGATTTTACATTTACAGCGTTTCCGAGAAAAAGGAACGAAGTAGTGACAAATTCTTTTAGATACAGAAAAAGAACAATCGTCACAAATACTACAACCACCACCACTTCTTTAACTGAGAATCCTAAAAACACTGACACTACTTTAACTGAGAATTCTAATAATAATGCAACATCATCAACGGAAGTAGTTGATCAATCTTCTCTCACACTTCCTTCTTCGGCAGCTTTAATACGTCCAAGTGTATCAATGGTTCAAATTCTCGCGGACGTTTACAAAAAACAAGTTGATCTAAGTCTAATCCGTTTGCACTATCCATTTCTAAGTAGCTACATACTGGCACAATATATCGCAATAAATTCATCACGCTATGGCGTATCAAGAGTTATCAGAGCCCTATTTAGAAAAGTACCAGTGACCGTGATAAGTTCAACGAATCCTTTGTTTCGTCGCGGCAGTATTAACGAGACTGAATCTCAACCAGTGGGCACTGGCGCGAGGGGACCTCCATCTCCACTCGAATGGACTAAATTAATACGTGCTGGTAATGCTTTTTTGCCGGCTCATATTGCCGGTATAAGAGTTCAGGTTTCTGGGCGAATGGGTAGTAAGAAGGGAGCGGAAAGAACAGCAGTGATGAGCAGATCATTGGGAAGTTTTCGGTTCCATTCAATGACGAAATCAATGATTGATTATTCTAAAGTTGAAGGAAAAAATAAAAATGGATCGTTTACTGTTAAAGTTTGGATTAGTTCAACCTGTGGAGCGCCTCGAGGTGTCTTGTCAGATTGATCGATTCATTATGTCTATTTGTCTATGTATTAGTACTTTTATATATATATATATATGATTTCAATATGCCAATTGAAAGGATCTCGACAGATTTTTCTCGACTCTTACAAAAAATTGAAACCATTACGTTATTATGGAAATACATTGGAAAATATGTTTTGTTTAACATCTAACTAGAGTTTGGAATCGGTTTTATTTTTGATATCTAAAACCATTTAAAGTTCATTTGCGAATTTCGGTAAAACATATCAAGCTAAAGAGTTTGTTTTCTTGCCCCCTAATAATAACCATACTTCCCAAGATAAGGGCAACAGAAATAACGTCTGGAATGTTGAATTTTGGGTTAATGCCTTATTTTTATGGTTGAAGTAACCCAGGTACTTTACATTTTCTCCAAAAAGTGGGAGACTTTACTTTAAACCGAAAAATATGATATTTCGCGTTTTGTAGCAGTAACCAATTGAATTCAATTCACAAGAAACTGAAGTTAGAATTCATTGGGGATGACATCCAACTAGTATAATAAAACGGAACAGTCTCGCAAAATGAATAGAATGCATCAAAGTTATTTCTGTTAACCCTTCTAACAAATGGAACTACAACGTCTTCTACCTCTTCATGTGAATGTTAGGACATACGGACGATGTTATAATCTATATGAATTATCGACTCACAACAGCACAAGGAAGACGATGCATTTTTTCAGTTAGTTTGAAGGTGATTTTAAAGAGTATAATCCGATCGTTGCGATTTCTTTGCATGGCGTTTAATAAAATCTTATCAATACGATTGCGTCGAAGGACTTTAATCTATTATTCAAATTATTACCGTAGAGCTACTTAGTATCACATCTACACTTATACCGGGTACTTGATGTTCAAATCGTTGGAGGGTACGTACTATGCACAGGGAATACTATAGGTTCTCAATGATAAAGAAAAAGATTTGAATGAGTTAATTTCCGAATTCGATAAATATCTAGACAATCAAGACTCTAATCACTAGTATTGGCTTTTCGCGTGAAAGACTAGATCATTTCGTAGAAAAACTTCATCTTTGAATATACGCAGTATATAATCACGTTCTCAGTAATACAAATATCTGTATTCGTAACGTAATGGTGGACAATCATTTTTTTGCATCGGCGGATTCCGCTGATAGAAACAATGAAGTTATAAAAACTTCATACTGCAATATAGTATTTTCAGCACAAAAACACCAGATTCTAGTATATTAGGAAATTGATGACGTCATAAAATCAATCGACGATTTTAAAGAAAATTCTTTGGACGTGTTTACTTTAAAAATGTCAAAAAGAAATCATAGTTCAGCCTCGCGATCAAAGGATAATAAAAAAGCTGAGGACACCATTTCAAAACGCGTTCGCTTTAACCAATCCGTTTTAGTAGCAGAAACCGGAAGTAATAACGAAGCCGATCGTGACGAATTCAATTTTGAAGACTCGTTAGAACATGCGAAACCTCGTCGTGGTGCCGTCAAACTAGAGGGCTATGGAAGTGACGAGACAGACACTAGCGAAGACGATGGTGTTGACGCTCGTTTTGAACGTCGCAAAGCCTTAGCAAAAGGCAAAGCGAAAAAAGACGACGATGACATGTTTGCCTCGGACGACGAAGCTTTCGGTGTTGATGCGGAAAAAGGGTCCAAGAAAAAAAGAAAATCAAAAATCAAGTATTTGGAAATGGAACAGATTCAAGGTCAAGATTTTGGATCATTCGACATCGATAGTGACTCCGAGGAAATTCGTATTGAAGCATTCAATATGAATGCCGAGTTGGAAGAAGGTAAATTTGATGACGCGGGAAATTATATTCCCAATAAAAAAGACCCCAATGAATTTCATGATAATTGGCTTCAGGGTTTTTCGCGAGATGATATTAAAAAAGCACGAATTGCTCACGAGAAACAACAAAGAGTGATAAAACTGAAAGAGGCAGAAGAAGATTCAAAAGGAGAAATGGATCGTATCTCTATATGGAAAGAACTATTAACGATTTTAAAACGAGGCGAGAATTTATTAGATGCATTGCAAAGACTGGGTGGTGGTGGTAGTAATAATAGTAAAAGATCATCAAAGAATAAACAAAAAGTGTACAAGAAAAGAAGAGGAAAACCATCGGATACCGCAACAGAAATAGAAATTGTACCGATGGAAGAGAAAGTCGTTGAGACTGAAGAATCTATTAAAGAAAATAAACGGAAAAAAGATATTGAAAGATTAACAGATTTGTCGGATAAAATGATGGCATTGGGACATTTTAATGTTTACGAGGATACATGGGAGGAAATATTGAGGAATCTAAAGAGTGAAAAAGCAGTACCAAATGATTGGATGCCACCTTCTAACGACGACGACGAATTAATATCAAAAGATAATAGTGATGAATTATCAACAACATCATTAGCTGCAAATTATCCTCAAAATTCATCAACAACTCAACAATTAGCATCAGGCGTAGATTTTTCCACGCAATGGGAATATAAATGGACAGATAGCGAAGAACCCGCGAACATTTATGGACCATTTTCCAGTCTAGATATGAAAGCATGGCATGAACAAGGTTACTTTTCGCAAGGAATTTTAGTACGACGAGCTGGTTCAACAGATGAATTTATCAGTGATACCAATGTTGACTTCTCTTCCTAAGTCAACAATATATATAATTAGTTAGTTATTTATACCTGCGTTAGTAGACTGCATTTTTTCTTTTAGTGATTTAGTGTAAATGATGTGAAATGAAATCTATTTTTCTTGGATTCTGTGACTACTTTCTGTTATTATTTTTTTCCTTTTATCATTATTTCATCATCGATACTTTTAGACTTTTTTCAGCCAATCATACTTCGTTTTCTGCCTCTTAAGCGTACTTTAAAGAATAGCAAGATCAATATTAAAAGAGAGCAAAATCTTTTATTACAAGAAAACTAAGAGATATATAAATCTTTACCTTCTTCTAATTTATTTATTACAGGACCGGAATCCTTGTATTTCTTTCTATAAGTTTCAAGAATTGATGCAAACTAAAAAGAAAATAATCATATCGATAATCAATCATATTTATTGTAGATAGTAAATAGTAGTAGAGAATTGATTACCATAGTCTCCGAGTTTGGATGAGTACTCATAAAAGCACGTTCAAGTACATACAAATCAACCGCTTTGTCCTCTGGTAATATCGACACGTAGCTCAATCCAAAATCTATCACCACCTGCATTAGAATTGAATTTTATCAGTTTAAATTTAACTCGACATGTGTAAGTATGACATCAAAGACGAACCAAAGATCCTGTAGGATCCCGACTTAGAAGATTCGAAGTCGTCAAATCACCATGAATTACATCTGCCACGTGCATGTTTGCTAATGCCATTCCAATTTTATTTGCCATTTCATCATCTATGATAGTAGATATCGGCAAATGTCAAATGGAAATTTACTATAGAATAATAATTAATTTACTTTTCGATTTAAACGACTCATCATCACTTTGCTCCCGCAAAATATCCCTGACAGTCTTCCCTTCCACATACTCCATGTAGATTGTATTATTCTCTATGTCAACAAAATACACGACAGGTGTATCTAACCCGGAACGTCGACATTTGTGTAGACATCTTGCTTCCTTTGAATTTGTTGAGTAGTTTTAACAAGTTTTCTTAACAATCAATCTATCTTGTTCTTTGGTTTAATTTGTTCACCTGAGTAACGCGACGTGCTGTCAATTTTTTATCGAGAATCGGATGTCGATAGGATTTAGAGAACCGCTCCTTTACTATTGCTTTTCGTGTCAAGAAAGGGGCGATATAGATGCGCTTTTGATTTTGATTTTTTGATTAATTTTTACTCGATGTATTTATTTTGAGAGATGAAATGAATTTTAGATATACCGCTTCAGCGCCCTGTTTTATTAAAACTGCATTATCGATCATGGTGTTATCCGCTCATGACTATCTTCGTGTGTAGAATTAATTTGCATTGATTGGTGTGATACAAGCACTGACGATTATGCTTTCGAAAATTTACTCTGTAAATACCAAAAATACTTGTTTCCTCACGAGAATTTAAAAAACCATTAATTAGTTATCGTTAAAAATACAACCTAACCAAACCATGGTGGTAAGAGAGATAACCATTAGCCACTTTTGTATGATTTAGGGAAAATAAACGAAATAACAACGGGTCACTTGCGTTTTTAATATTTCCCACGAAATGCAAACTTAAAATATAAATCAAAGTTAGTACTGGTCATAGGAGACTTGCACATTCCACATCGGGTACACGACTTGCCTTTAAAATTCAAAAAACTACTGGTGCGTATTATAAAAAACAGTATTTACTAGGTTTAAGCTATAATTAACTAATGGAAATCGTTGGCATTTAGGTGCCCGGTAAAATACAACAAATTATCTGTACTGGAAATGTATGTGATAAAGAAACTTTTGATTACTTGAGAACAGTGGCCGCTGATGTCCATGTTGTAAGAGGTGACTACGATGAAGTATGTCAATATTTTCCGATATTTCTGTATGTTATTTTTTTTTGATCACAACTTTTTAAATGATTGATAAGAAATTATTCCATATTATAATAAATTGAATATAGTCCCAAAACTGGCCTCTATCAAAAATTGTAACCCACGGACCTCTTCGTATCGGTGTTCTCCACGGACACCAAGTGATCCCAGTTGGCGATAAAGAATCATTATCAATTGTCGCGCGACAAATGGACGTGGATATACTATTGACAGGCCATACACATCGGTTTGTTGCATATGATCATGAAGGGAAATTTTTCGTGAACCCTGGGAGTGCTACTGGTGCCTATTCAGGATTCGGCGCAGAGTGAGAACATGAAATAATTTTAATTTCATTAATTTTATATGTTTTATTTATTTACTTTCTACATTTATTCGTTGAACAGTGATATAAAGCCATCGTTTGTGTTGATGGATGTTCAAGGAACTGTGGTGACAACATACGTGTATCAATTAGTTGATGGTGATGTCAAAGTAGAAAAAATTGAATATCGAAAATCTTATGACGCGAGTGGCAGAGTTTTATAAACAATTATTATTATGATTTTGTGTTTTTATTTATGCATTATTTATAAGTAATTTCTGTATCTTCTATTATATGTGTTGATAGATAGATAGAGTGGGTTGTGTGGATCGGATGGTTGGTTTCCGCTGCTGTGGACGGATTTTTATGCAACAGAAATAACTCGATCCTATATTTCTAATAGAAACAACTTTAATTTAAATATAATACAACAAACATCTTGGTAGTTTCTATTTTTTTTTTAAGTCGGATAACAGAAGATTGCGCAATATTTTCTTTTGATGCGATATAACGGCAGAAATTCGTGATCTTTGTTCGATAGTGATACGACCCATATTGATGTAGAGATATGTTTATTAAAATAAAATGAAAAACTATACTAATAGGTATAACTTTTATATATTATTCGAGTTGTGTTTTGTTATAAAATTTGGAAATGTTATATGGATTTACTTTTGAACGAACAAACAGTCAAAAAAACGCATCGCTGAAATATTACATTTTTGTAAATTATATTTAATAACATGTAAAATCACGAGATATTACCATTATTATTTTTTATTTACATGATGCAAAACATATGTATATACATAATCCTCAAATTTTTTACAACTTCCTTTTTTAGGGGACGTCTAAAGCGGAGTAGTCCCGTGATTCAAATAAACAATAGCGCCACACTGATCATGTGAAAACTATCTCGTGATATTATCATGTGTAAAATATTATGTTTATATTTTTAAAAATACGTATACTGCTTTTTTTAAACTTTGGGTGTGTTGTGATTATTCTAACACAATAATATTAGACATTCAATTCTCTGAAAAATTGAGATCATGTTTTATAAGATCTTGTTGATTTGTTTCTATAATGCCGTCGTCATATTAAGTTTCCCGATTCTTCATATAACAAGCTTTGAAAAAGCCGGTCAAATCGTGGAGATTGTTAACATAAAACAATAGATTTTTAATTATATTAGAGAATTGATATAACATTATAAAAAAAATTGTTGCAGATGAATCAATATTAGGTCGTAATTCAATGGTTTTTATTTGGCAACAATAGGTTTGGGTGAAAGTATTGACTAGATTTTGTATTAGTTTCTAATTCTTATACCGATATCTATAGATATCGTTTGACATTATGAAGAAGTGTAGATTCAGTAATGTGACTCACGTTTTTTAAACTTGATACTAACTAACTGGAACCATTGCTTTTTCTAGACAGGAGCCCAGAACTCTTAAAATCAAATTAATTGAATCAATCGTCCAATTCGTTAACAAAATTAATATTTTATTGGTGCCTTTTCTGGCAATAAGCGGTTTATTGTTCAAGAGAGAATAACGCATGGTATAATTTAAGGTACAGAACAAAAAGAGGAACGCATTAATACTATTTAATTTATACATTTCTTAAAATCGGATTTAAAGATTCCTCCAATTCTTCAATAAAAGCATCTGTTTGTTCAGAATCACCTCTTTCCTCCACTTTTCAATACGTATCTTGTACTCTTTCTGTCAACTCATTAATAGCTAATTTTTGAGTTTCTACTCTTCTCTGCTCTTCTGTTTGTTTATCTATTACTGTCACCGTTTCATATCGTTCATATACTTCAAATCTGCTTTCTTCAAATGTTTGCTGAAACATTTCTCAAGTATCAACAGTAAGTAATTTAGTAGTACCATACGCGTGTTCATGAAAAATGTATTTACATAGCAGCAAATATTTATTGCGAAACAGACAATCGCAGTCAATTGAAGTTAAACCAGGTGCACTCTTTCCTTTTTCGATTCTATTCATTACCGAACAAGCTTTTTTAATAAGCATCTGTTGCATCGGATAAGGAAATTTATGAATTTCTTCAAGAATTTCCTCGTCTACCCCATAGGTAGATATTTTTTTAACACGAAAGTTGAAAGCAGCATCTTCAGATTCTGCTCATTTTTTGCAATCAACTTCAACAATCTTATATACGGTGCCTATGAAAGTATTACATGCATAATATTTAATAAAAAAATATTAACTAATTAATTAATAAAAAATTAGAAACATACCAATCAAACCGTAAGTGAAGGATGTTAGTCTTTTGAGTTCACTGTGATAAGATTCTAAAGGATTGGTTGAAGTAACTTGCATAAGAAGGGGAGAATGTTGACATGCCCAAAGAGCCCATCTCTGCGTACTTTTTTTATAATTTCTTTGAATGTAGCTTTGAATAATTGATACTGGACAATTCTCGATTGCTTCGGTAATTAGCTGTTCACATTCAATTTTTGTTGATTTATACATTACCATGATCATTTTATCTTTTGTTTTCTTTTCATAGATTTTTGTCATCTATGTTCGCATGATATGAACAGTACAAAGAATAGTTTCACACTCTTGTTCGCCAGCCTGAAGACCGGAAAATGCTTTCTTGATGCTATTGGCTTCAATACTACTTTGGTCCATAAGGATATAATGGGGAGTTCAATGTTGACAATTGCGTCTAACAGCTTTTATCACTTTTGCAATTGTATCACCATCTTCCTTATTCACAAAAAAATGTGCACCAACATCCCAACATCCATAACCATCACGAATATAAAGAGTAAAAAGACGCAAATCATGTTTGTTGATTTTGTGAGTAGAATCAATCAGGGTTAACCATCCATAATATTAAAGTTTTGCGATGTTACGACTGGAAATTTCCATAATTTCCATAATTCTTATAACTTTTATAATTAAAACATTTATAACAATTACCATCATTTACAACAATTATCATCATTTACAACAATTACCATCATTTATAACAATTATCATCATTTATATAGTATTTATTATTTATCAACTTACACACCCCTACAATAAATTACTGGAAATCCAAAAAAAAGCATAGTAAAATTGAAATTATCTCTTTATAATGAAAATTTTATTATTATTAGTAAATATTTTTTGTTTTTATATCAAA